GATGATTTCGTTTTCACTAAAAACGATATCAAACAGTTTGGTATCATAATTGACACTTTTTGGAATAGCATTCCTTTCATTTGTCTTCTATCTTCTCATTTGCGACTTGAGTGGGTTCTAGTGTTCGAATGCTCAAGTTATACGCCATATATTATGAATTAAAGTTCTACATATAACGACTGGCGATGGGATTAACTTATAATATGTCATTTACCTCTGAAAAATTCGAAGCCTTGCTGGAGCGTAAAGAAAAACGTTACGAACAGTTCTATATTCGTATTCTAGAAGCTCTAACCCAGAAAATGCACATAAATCAAAAGGGGTTTACAGATGGTCCGTTCAAATCCCATATCGACCACATTATTAATTCTAACCATGAATTTCGTTTAGATGATTTGTCTGGTGTTACATTTGAATCGTTCGAAGATATATTCAAGATCGACCTATAAAAATTTAAAGGTCAGAGTACTGCTACACAAACTTGGCACAGCTAAACATGAACATTACACCAACTTCATTCTCCCCAAGAATCCCAGAGACCTATCATTTGATGCAACGTTTGTATCTTTGTCGCAAATTTTTGGTGAATAGTCATCTTTGTTCAATATTCGTTACCAATATCTGAAGTTGGCTAAAGCTGGAGATGTCTGAGGGCAGCATGAGGGCATAGTAAATCGCTAGTGTAAGCGTTTCAACTTATCAGTAATGACAGAAGACTAGTTTAAGTGATGTGTTTCTTTAGACAACTTGTAGTTGTCTAAAGATACCGACATCAGAATCAGAATTCCGAGTAAAATTGAACAATGTCCAAATATAACTCTACACTAAGTGATTAGTAAATGTTCGAGACTGGTGAACTTAAAGCATGACACTTCTAAATATAACATATATAATGAGTAGTAAACTACTGTATACAGACTTAGACTATTTATAACTTTAAAACATGAATAAAATATGATTATTACCAGAAAAGTGGCTTTGTGGATATTATAGTAATTCAGTAGTTCAGTTCATAAGTCAGTTGAAGCTAGATCATTATGGAAAACCTTGGAGCACTGAACGGCTGTTTCGTCCTAGTGTGGGAATCCTCAGCAGTGCGCATCCACTATCCCACCTCCCGAGACATTCGAACACAGGAACTATCAGTCTCGCGGACGAGCGCTTAATCATTAGATCACTGAACCGGTATCCAACAGTGTTAATGTCTAACTTCAACCCATTCACGAAGTTGCGCCATCGTACACCATTTTCTTCAGTGAGCTGATATCTCACAACAGACCTGGTTGAACTCCACTGGTAACGGCTTCTCACTAGAACTCTGGCAGTATCTCTTGAAGTCAGTCACTAGTGAACAGATGATTATTATCAGAAGGGGATTTTTGGAGACTTTTACAAATTTCAATAATCGAAATCAATTGAAGCTGAACCACCATGGAAAACCTGAAAGCACTGGACGGCTATTTCGTCCCAGTGTGGGACTCTTCAGCAATGTGCATATGAGCCTATATTGAGTATTACACATAAACATATAAACAGTAAGAATAGCCAACATTAACGTAAAACTATTTGAAAAGAGATAATAGTAATAATATTAAATGAATGAATATTGTAACTGATATAACATTAAACGATACCGCCATTCATACCCCTTCTCAATTAATTAATTTGCAACAACAACAAAAGTGTATCATCTAACAATTAAGACAATTAATGGTAGGTATTCAGTAGGAATTTCACAGATTCCTATATCTTGTTTCTTCTCTTTTGTCTAGTATAGTCTTATAACAAGTCTTAATAAATAAGATTTTGTTACATTCAATGTGTAGATTGTTCTTTTGTTTTTCTTTATAGTTTCAGTTCATAATGACAAAGATTTAACAACTTTACCTAAAAGATATGTACTTTACATGTAACAGTTTCTCACTATCGGTTTAATAAAATAAAATATATACTAATAGGGTTTTAATAGATGTTAATTATAAGCAAAAATGAATGGTGTCTAGCAGTGAAATCCAGTTTTATGCGTACGTTCCGTCTTATTTGAGACTCGTCATTTGGATATAGTTGCATTTCAGAGTTAATGTTCACTCTAAAAATTCAACCCAGAATCGTTCACTTCAAACGTTAACACGTTATTTACTTAGTAACTGAGTCCTGAAAGCCACTTGATTATGTAATTGGATGAAGTTTTAAATTCATTTAGTGTGATTTACTCATATCTTCCTATTGTTATCTAGGACTGTAATTGATCAGTCTCTTGTTGGCATATGTACGTCCAGCGGGGACTGTCTTAGATCACAAACTTTATAAACCATGACGGTTAGCGGCTAGCAGCGGAATCTACATTGGATGCACATATGCCAATAAGAGACTGATCAATTGCAGTCTTAAACAACAATGGTGAAGATACAAGTAAAACAACACCAAGTGGATTCAAACTGCTACCTGTTCAAATGTTCTGTTCTACACATCAACAAAAACAATAGACGAAAGGCAAGGTATATGAGTAAAAGCTTCATTCCAGAGTCTTATTATATACAGAAAACCAGAAAAATATTTAAAGTCATACGTAACTTTGTAGGGTGATTGATCATCAATAAAAATGGGAGATGACTGCGTTATATGGTTAACCGATCAAAATTGAAATTGTATACCATTGGTTGATTACTTAGTGGTCTAAAGGTTAAGCAGTCTCCGTTAAATTTTTCAGTTCAACTTTTAGTGCTATCATTCGTGTCCATAACTGAGGTGTCCTATACAAGGATGAAATATTTATCCAGTGCTTCCTGGCCATTAATTGTTGTTTAACTAAAATCAATCGGCTATGTAAGCTATCAGATTAACTATAAGTTTTTTATTTTTTTTTACAATGATGCACAAACATTATATGAATTGTCTTCATCAATGGAAACGTTTTTGGTATTATGATAAAAAGGATGTTCGGAGAGACTATAATTTATGGTCGAACTAATCAGGTATAAGATAATAAGTTTCAGATTTTGGCGCGAAATTCACTCATCCATTTGGCTAAATAGAGTTTCGGTATTGTAGGTAATGTCAGTTCGTAACGAAAACTCTAATTCAAGTTCCTAACCATAACTATCAATTGAAAAACATAATTTTAATTCCTCACACAGGTTGATAACCTTCATTTAGTCTTAGTTAGTAGGTAGACATCCTGAAGATCATTTTGGCGTCTCTCAAAGGTCATCCATAAATTATAGTCTCAACATAAGTTCCTTGTTAAAGATTTCGGTGTAAATGATTTTCAACTAAGAACAACGTGTAAAATACATCATTTCACAGTGTTTAATCACTGAAATCAGTACAATATTCGGTTAACTCTAACTGTGGAATTAGTAAGATCTTGAAATCTAAATTGTTTTTCAACAAAATATTACCTTACTAATTTGATATAAAATACAGTTTATGGTAAGACTTCTCTTCGAATCATACTAATTTCCCCAAATGCCCTGGTACGGCCAAGAGTGAGGAGACTCCACTCAACCTCTGAGAATGCTCTCATATGGCCACGCGTATACAGCCACTGTCAAGGAAGTCCCACACACTACTTTCTCGAAATACGGATGTTGTTTACGAAATTGAGAGGACGGAAAGCGAATAACTTTCAATTTAACCCAGTTGATGGATATGGAGGATCCACTTGGTGGGTTGGATGGAAAAACTTGATCCCAACCCACTGATGTACATAGACTCCAGGATCATGAGGGAATAAATGGTGCATGAATCTATTGCCGGTCACCGGCTACCATTGGACTGCATCTCTTGACGTTACTCCATTGACTTTTGGATCAGATCTTTAGATCGGAGACCCAGGATATGGCCCCTTAAGAAAATTATCTGCTTCGGTCTGACTGCCCGAACAGTATCACAACCCCCCTCACACACAAATCAAATGACTAGTGTGGTGCATTTGTAATGAGTGACCCTTTGTACTAATATTTATGTTATCAGAAATGGTTTGTGGAAATTTTAGAAATTTCACAGTTTGAAATCATGAGTCAATTGAAGCTAGACAACCATGGAAAACCTGGAAGCACTGGACGGCCGTTTCGTCTCAGTGTGGGACTCCTCAGCAGTGCTCATCCACGATCCTGCCCCTCACGAGATTCGAAACTAGGACCTATCAGTTTTGCGACAGGCGCTTAACCAACTAGAACTCTGAGTCGGCATCCAACGGTGTTAATGTTTAACTTCAACCCATCCACGAAGTTGCGCCACCGAACACTATTGTCTTCAGTGAGCTGATATCTCACAACAGACCTGGTTGAACTCCACTGGTAACCAGCAGGTCCTGGGTTCGGACCGTGGATGTGCACTGCTGAGGAGTCCCATACTAAGACGAAACGGCCGTCCAGTGCTTCCAGGTTTTCCATGGTGGTCTAGCTTCAATTGACTCATGATTTCAATCTGTGTAATATTTATGTGTTCAAATAATAAATAATGCCCTAGTAACAAAAACTATTGTTTTTGTGTGTGTTTGTGTGTGCATATTTATCTTCAAAATAATAATAATAAATTACATAATTACCTAATTACATATTGATTAAACGAATCGATATCATTTTTTTCTTTTTATATATTTTAGAATATATTAACAAATGATATAATCTATATGTCCCAATTATTCTATCACCACTCTCTCTCTCTCTCTCTCTATGGTACATACATCTTCTTACCACAATGACCCGGAATTATGTAACATGTACACGTTGACAAATCATGCAAATTTTTTTTTCCATACCAAATTAGAACACAAATTATGCATAAATTCATCTATTGTGATTCATTTAAGATATTAGTTATGTAATATAAATACATGATAAATAGGTAGAGTACTGAAATTGAATCGGTGAAAAGACTCTATATATCTAATCTCTATTCTATATCTATTTCAGATCTTATTGGATAATACTAATATGATTGAATTATACACTATTTAAAGCATCAAGTTTATTATTGTATTATACATAAATGAAATGCGTACACTACGATTACGTAATACTATCAATGTAAGTTTTGTAGTTCATTTGTTTAAAGTGTTTATTCTATGTTTACAAACATTGTGGACTAGTTACTTCTTATCAGTTAAGTTTTTAATTGAGATCATGAACCGATTGATGTTAGAGCAGCACTAAAAACCTGGAAGCAGGGGACGGGCGTTTCGTCCTATTGTGGAACCCCTCAGTAACGCGCATCCACGATCCCGCTCGCGAGATCCGAACCCAGGGCCTTCAGTCTCGCGCGCGAACGCTTGAAGTACTGAACCCCTGGGCCCACAATAGGACGAAACGGCCGTCAAGTGCTTCCAGGTTTTCAATGGTAGTCTAACATCAATTGGTTCATGATCTCAATTAAAAATATTTACTTCTTTTTGATTAAATATTGTTTTCTATACAACTATGGAAATATTTTGACCGTATCTTTTCTTAACCATGAAAGGAGATGTTCATTAACTTATCGGTTCAATTATCTAGTAGTGCGCCCAATATATATTTCTCCACAGGTTTTATCAGTAGAAGAGTGTATATAAAAAGTTCTTTATCAAACCAATACACATATTTCTTAAGCTTTGTACCCTTTCATTAAAGGAGAAACTTAGTCAGATATCTGTCAAATAGAGTTATTATGACATGCTCAGTTGATACAATTAACAAGGAATTATAGCCTGTACATAATAGGTTGATTGAAATGGATTATCCACAGGGTTTTCTAAAGAAACACTTGCGTGCAACAAATAAGAAAATAGTGACATCAACGGTTAGTAAAAAAACTTCTCTTCATGAAGATACAATTCAATGGAGATGTATCTGGTGATATACTACGTGATAGACTGACTAGAGCAGTGAAGAGAATATCTGTCTATTGTACTCGACCCAATCTATGGTTATTCCGTAATCAAAAGATAAGTTACCTGGTTATGCCACTTCTACGTGCATATAAGAAGTCAGCTACTCCTGTGGAGAAAACTATAATGGGCGAATCACCAGACAACTGAACCAAAGAGTTAGTAAACACCTCTCTTCGTGGTTAGAAAAAGGTACTGTCAAAAAAATAGGCAGCTTGATTCTATCACATTTGATCGATAGCAATCATTTAAAGCAGTCATTTAAAGTTATCACCTATTAAATGTCTATGCTTTAAGTATATGAAGATAATTTTAGATTACTAATAAATGTCAAGTAATAAACCATTAAGAAATAGGCAGTACTGTATCATTGTGATTAATATTGGTCAGATTCTAGTGGAATTCGTAGTTAGTAGGCTTTAAACATGGAGAAAATGAGACAGTAGTTCATTGATTAAAGTGGATAGTAATCCGCCGATCAGTATTCTCCAACACACTCTGTCCTGGGCCTTACCTTCTAGTTCTATCCAATTGTTGTCCATCCTTCTCATGCCTGTCTCCGTTTCTCGGCATAATGTGTTCTTTGTCCTCCTCTTTTCCTTTGGCCTTGTGGATTCCATGGAAGGACTTGCCTTGAGTGCTCTTCTCAATGTGTGTCCTATCCACTTCCAGCGCTTTGTCCTGATTTCTTCCTCCACTGGAATCTGTGTTTTTCTCTGCCACAGTAGGCTGATCCTGAAAGTGTCTGGCCAACAGATCCGAAAACAACTGTTAATCAACATTTGTATCTTCTGAATGATAGCTTTCGTAGTTTTCCAAGTTTCCACCCCATACAGTAGAACTGTATTGAAAATTCTGACCTTGGTGTTGGTTGGTAGTTGTTTTGGGTTCCAGATGTTCTTCATTTGTTCTTTAATTGCTCTTGCCTTACTGATCCGCGCCTTTACACGTGCATCAGATCCACCGTTCTCATCAGTGATGCTGCCCAGATATGTAAATGTTTTTACATCCTCCAAAGCTTCTCCATCAAGTGTGATTCGATTGTTGCATGCTGTGTTGTATCAGAGAATCTTGCTTTTCTCTTTGTGTATGTTGAGTCCTATTGCTTCTGAGTTTGCTGCTACACTGGTCGTCTTCTGATGCATTTGTTGTTGCGTGTGCTATAGAAGGGCCAGATCATCTGAGAAGTTTAGATCGTTCGGCTGCATGCTAGTTGTTCATTGTATCCCATGCTTCCCCCAGATGTTGCCGTCTTCATAATCCAGTCGATCAACAAAAGTAAGAGAAAGGGTGAGAGTAAGCAACCTAACCTGACATCGGTCTTTGCTTTAAACGAATACACGTATACCAATAAAATTTCAAAAGTTAGTCCTAGATATCAACAACGGAATAATTTAAACTTTATCAGTAACATAAAAATTCTCACTTTAATTATTTATATACTACTGTTATTTATATCATCAACTGAATATCATGCCCTTTAAACCGAAAACGAGTCACTGGTCTTTATTGTAGGAAAGCAGAAATATTTCATAACAATGTCAAAATTTGTGAGATATCGTCTTTATATTACATGCTATGCCACACGATTTCATAACACACCAATATCAACAAAAATGGCAATAGAGATGATTAATTCATATTCGTTAGGTGGTCCACCTAATGTGTGTTCCGAAAAGACCACCTTCACTATCCCGTTATTTGCCCCAAAATATCCTGGTACGGCTTAGAGTGGGGTAAGTCTGCTCTTCTTCTCCATATGCCCTCACATTGCCACGCGTATACAGCCACTGACAGGGAAGTCCTACTTACTGCCTTCTTATGGCATTACTGTTGTTTACGAAATTGAACAGCGAATATCCAGTGAGGGCTTTAACCGAATTGGTGAACACGGAGGATCCTCCAAGAGGAGTTGGAAAACCGTCATTCCAAACCAGTGGTATACATAGGTTCAAGTATCCTGAAGGAACAAGATTATAGGTGTATACTGCTGATTATCTTCAAACTAAAAATGAAACACCAGTAGAACACAACACAATACCATTACAACTAACTACCGGTCGTATTATTATTATTATTATTATTATTATTATTATTATTATTATTATTATTATTATTAGTAATAGTAGTAGTAGTAGTAGTAGTCTCAGTAGTGTGGTGTGCTACTTATATTGACATAAGTAGTATATGATGTTAGTTGTGAACAGCAGGTCTGGCAGCAGAGAGACAAGAGGATCGAACATTAAAGAATGAAAACAAAATGTAATTTGTATGAAAATACAAGAACACTGAAGTCTGAGTCATTTTGAGAAAATCGATGGATATTTTGCAAATTGAGCATTTACTTTATGATTGCTAGATTTTATTAATAAGTCCGTCGACAGCACCTGCTGTAGCCAACATCACCCCGCCAGAACACTCCACTAGTCGCCACCTCTCCTCACCAGACTGCTCCAACTAGCACCTCAGCTCCGGGCCCGCAACGGCGTCCGCAGAGGAGCACCCCCTCCTGGTTGGCATCGACACCAAGTGTAGTGAACAAGAACAACAGTGGTGACAATAGAATGTATTTAGCACAAAATTACAGGACTCTTTAATAAAATCTTTAATAAAATAAACAGTCATGAAGTAAATGCTCGATTTGCAAAATGTCCACCGGTTGTCTCAAAATGGCTCAGACTTCATTCTTTATTGTTCGATCCTCTTGTCTCTCTGCTGCCAGACCTTCTGTTCACAACTAACATCATCTACTACTTATGTCAATATAAAAAGCACACACCACAGTAGAAGTAGCAGTAGCTTTATTGAATATTATACTTTTGGTACAATGTAGAATTGTCAGCACAAAATATTTCAACAAGTTTCTGTTTGCATACCTCTTGATCGATCTTGACGAAAAATATAGAGTAGTTGTCAGTTAGAAGTCAGCAGTCCATTCAATTGATACCTAAATAATGTATATTCTTTTCGATGCATAATGCCAGCAACCACTGTATCTTCGATTAAGCGCTTTTTTGCAACTTGTACAACGAAAGGTTGTACACATTTCAGAAAGGCATCTGATTAGGTTATATGATTAATAGACATAATGATGTATTAAAATAAACAAGAAAACAGATGGATTGTTGAAATATCTAGATGTCAATGATCAGATAGTCCAGATATTCAAGAATTATAACATTTCAAAGAATGATTTTGATCCTAAAATCCCTAATGTATTATCTAAAACCTGATTTGTTCATTCACAGATCATAATTCCTTTGTAAAGTAATATCAATCATACAATTAGATATACAAATACTAAAATGACACTTTATTTTACTTCTTCCATTTTGATCATTTAAAGAAATTACATACATTTCAACTTATTTATTATTACTTATTTGAACGCATAAACAATGGTGCAAGAAGTTGTCAAATAGATAGACAGTATATATATCATTCGATTTGTATGAGGGCTGAGATACTGCTCGAGTGCCTAAACCGAAGTTGGTGGTTTTCTTAGAAGGACATGCTCGAAGCCTTCGACCTAAAGGTCTAATCCACAAGGCAGCAAAAAAAACGTAAGGAGATGCGATCCAATGGTAGCCGGTGACCAACAGTTAGTTCATACGCCATTTGTTCCTCCAGGATACTTATGTCCATGTATACCATTGGTTTGAAATGAAGGATTTTCAACTCTCCTAGATAAACTCTCCGTATCCACCAACTCAGTTAAAAAACCCCACAGGATATTCCATTTTCGTCCTCTCAATATCGTAAACAACAGTAATGCTACAAGAAGACAGTCAGTAGGACTTCTCCTATCAGTGATTGTATATACATGGCTATATAAGAGCATTTCAACAGAAGACGAGCTGACTCTATTCACTCTCAGACATACCAATATAGTTTATTTATTCATTATTAAAAATTTCTAAATGATTTCTTCATACAATTCATTGAACTTATATTCTATATGAATAAAATAAAGAATAATTAATGAAATAAACAAACAATATGAAATCATCTAGAAAAATGTTTATCAATAGTATTCAGTAGTATGATGAGAAATACTAAAATAAAATATAGAAATGAATTTTTTTAATTTTATTTTTTTTCTTTTTCTTGTTTTTCTTCTTTGAAAAACTCTTTTGTTAACTATCTACAATTGTAGCATAAATGAAAAAAAAACGATGGTATAATCATGAAGTCAAGTGTAAATCCTTTATTCATTTTGCTTTTCTTATCAGCTAATCAACATAAACAGGATAGTTCATTACTTTGGGAGGGGGGGGGGCGGGGCGAGTTATTGTTAATTATTAAAATCAGTATAGGGATTGATAGAGATTGAAATCACGAGGGGATCTAAATTAGACAATCACATTTTATGTAACAGATTGTTTTTTATTTATTTATAGTGTTGAAATGATGACCTTCAGGTTGGTGAAACTTGAAGGTCATTATAAGATTGGAGATTTTTAGTGTCCCATTAGAAGGTACATACTAGAATGAAATAATTATCATGTATATCATGATTTTTAGATGTAAACCATAAAATACAGTTATCTCCACAACACCTCCCCCCCCCATATAAATTGTTTCCATGGGGCATTAAGTAGGGATCGTTTACCTTGAATTTTATCTTAATTAGTATTTTGTCATAATACATGTTTGATATTATTTTGATTGCATACTTTACATATGGCTGATAGATTTGATTTTAATCAAAGCATACATTGATGACATTGTTCAAAGATGTTCAAAGCATAAAACTCAAATTATGGTGGGCTACTGATATTGTCAGATATAAATAGTATGTATCATCAGTCGAAAGTGAAATGTCTAGAGATAGAAGGTTAAAAAGTTCAAAGGAAAGAGGATGAGAACAGAAAGTGATTGGTGTGGAAACGACGGAACAATGAACTCTAAGACAATTGATTAACATTTTACAAATGAAGTATTCACTGTATAGGTCTCGGATTTAACTAAGATGTTCTATAATTTTGTGTTCCAATACATTCCATTATTCCCATCTGTGTTCTTCTTCACTACAGATGTAATATTCAACTCTACTTTATGTATATTTTTAGTATGATAATTAATTGTAGCTTTGAAATAGAAAAACATATTTCGTTTTCCACCTTGGTAAATTTTCATAACCCAAGAAAAATAAGCATAGTAGAATAGAATGAGATGGCAATATTTGTGCTGATGATGTCGTTCAGAAGAACGATGAAAGCTCCATGACCAAACCATCTAGCTCAGAGAAGAAAACTCCACCAGAATAGGATGAGTTCATTTATTTCAGTTATTCTATTTTTAGCTACTCAAAACCATAAAATAGTATGAGTTTTGATTTAAATAAACTAAACTGCACCGTTTATAAGCAAAGATGGTTAGTGATTAGCAGTGGAATCTAGTTTGACACGCGTTTCGTTCAATTTGGGACTCGTCAACAGAATGTAACTACATCTCAGAATTGATGTTCACTTAGAGACTCGAAACTGAACGCCATCACGTTATCCACCTAGCTACTGAGTCCTGATAGACACCTGCTTGGGCAATAGGGTGAAGTTTTTAATTCACTTGATGTGATTTACTTGTATTTTCCTATTGTTATCTAGGACTGTAATCGATCAGTCTCTTATTGACATATGTGTGTTTTTTGGGAACTGCCTCAAAATCGCAAACTTTATAACCCAATATGGATAGTGGCCAGCATCAGAATTCAGTTTCGTCCTATTTGGGACTCATCGGCTCCATATACCTACAACCCGGATTGATCCTCAACTCTAGGATGCAGCTTTATCCAGTTGACGAGTCTCAAATAGGACGAAACGCTCATCCTGGATTCCACTATCCATCTTTTGCTTATAAGATAAAAACTTAGTTTAAAAGATAAATTGCAAATATATTATATATAACATATATCATTAATGATTTTAGTCCCTAATATGATCTAACTTATAATTATCTTGTTGATCTCAAAATATAATGAAATGCTTCAATTTAAGAAGCAAACAGTTGAATATCACATCAATCAATGTCATAATAAGCATTACATTTACAATGATGAACAGATATGAATTTATAGTATTGTGATAGTTGAAATTGTGATAACAAACCATTATTTCAATGTTGTTATGCTTTTTATCTCTATGAAGGTTATAAGTTGATTTGTCAACCTGATAGTAAGTTACATTGAAAAAGTTTTGTTTTTTTTCGTCATAACGGTTTACCAAAGAAATAAATCATGTTCTATCTTTATATTTCAATGTAGCATGAAACAAAATGATGAATTCATAACTATCTTATGAGTAGTGTTATTGATACAACAGTATAAGGAAAGTATTAAAGAAATAAGATTGAGAAGAGATTTGGATGGATAAATACTAATTGAAAGTGTATAATTTTAAATCTGTTACATTGATTTATTAAACTGAAATCGAACCGTCTTTATACATAACAATTAGACTTACTTACTTACCTACCTACCTACTTACTTACTTACTTACTTACCTACCTACCTACTTACCTACCTACCTACCTACTTACTTACTTACTTACCTACCTACCTACTTACCTACCTACCTACTTACTTACTTACTTACACCTGTTACTCCTGATGAAGCATAGGCCGGCGATCAGTATTCTCTAACCCACTCTTTTCTTGATTCTCCTTTCTAGTTATATCCAATTGTTCTTCATTCTTCTCATATCTGTCTTCATTTCTTTGATGTTTCTCTCCTTCTTCTGACCTTGGGGATTCTTGATGACGTCTTGCATTGTGACTTAGTTGGATACTTTTCTCAATATATATCCTATCCACTTTCAATGCTTCTTCTCAATTTCTCCCTTCGTTCGAATCTAGTTTGTTCTTTCCAACAGTAAGTTATTATTGATAGTATCTAGTCAATTGATGACATTTTATAGATAATTGTGAATTTTGAATTATTTTTTTTTCTCTAAAGATTATTATCTCTCTTTACAGGTTATTCAAACTACATTATCCACCATCACCACCACCACCACCACCACAACAACAACAACAACAGCAACAACAATATTAAATTCAAGCATTACACAATCATCTAATCTACAACATTTAGATATACTTTCACGTTATTCACGTATTTATGTATTAATTGAAAAATTTTCACCAATAATCAATCATTTAGATCGTTATATAAGTCCATTATGGTTACCAATTGGTATAATTAGTTGTATATTATGTATTATAATTTATGCTAATCCACAATGGCGTAAAACATTAAGACAAGATTCAATCATTCGAATAAATCCATATGGTTATAGTTCATTATCTATTTATTTATTAATTTTATCTATATTACATTTTATTCAATGTATATTAGTAATAATAATAGATTTAGATAAATCATGGGATACTGGTTTATTAGCATTAAATAATTTAATTTGTCCATTGATACATTGTATATGGACAGGGAATCATTTAGCTATTATATTAATAACTATAACATTAGGTATTGAAACTATTGTATTATTACAAAGAATAACAAGTTTTTCATCAAATCTTATATTACGTTGGATTATAGCTGATGGTAATCATCATAAATCAATACGTATCTCTATTGGTATTATTTTATTATCTGGATTATATGGTTTAATTGAAATAGTTTATTGGCGTATACAATATTATAATGTTGAATATGAATTAAAACATTCAATTAATCCATTGAGTTCATCATCATCATCATTATCATCATTGGAACCATTGGCAAGATGTGAAATTGCTGGTGGATTACAATATTGGTTTAATCTTAAATCAATTCATCGTTATGATATTTATAAAGAAATAGATATTACTAAAAATAGTAAACAATTAGCAACTAGTTATTATGATTATCAATGGATAAATGGCATTATAATTGATTGTACATTGGCATTAATTAATATATGTATAGGTTTAACAATTATCCATAATTATTATATAAATAATATTATAATACATCCAAGATATGCTGAAAGTTATGCAACAATAAAAAGAAGAAATCAAATTGAAGTATTACATATAGCTATAATAAATATTATACAAGGTTTATTTCGATTACCTAATGCATTATTTACTATACTTGATCCATTAATAAGACCAAGTGATATGAATTTAACAGATTCTGAGGTAAATTAAATAGAATATTAAAATTAAAAAAGAAAAAGTGTATTATATAATAATAATCATCACCTGCTCATTAGTGATTGACTTCAGGAGACATTTCTGGAGTTCTAGTGAGAAATCGTTACCAGTGGAGTACAACCAGGTCTATTATGAGATAACAACTCACTGAAGACAATGGTGTACGGTGGCGCAACTTCGTGAATTGGTTGAAGTTAGATATTAACACCGTTGGATGCCGGCTCAGTGGTCTAATGGTTAAGTGCTCGCGCGCGAAGCCAGTAGGTCCTGGGTCCGAGCCCCGGGCGGTGCGGTGTCGTGAATGCGCACTGCTGAGGAGACCCACACTTGGACGGAACGGCCGTCCAGTGCTTTCAGGTTTTCCATAATGGTCTAGCTTTAATTGACTCATGAATTCAATCTATGTAATATTTTATTGACTTTAAATATAATCAATTTGAACAACTTAATGTAATACAAATTCACTTGGTATTGTTTTGGTTTGTATCTTCTCATTGAGGTTTTAGGACTGAAATTGATCAGTTTGTTATTGACATATGTGCATACTGTGTGTATGCCTCGATATTGCCTTAATTTAAATGCTATTTGTAAGCAATGAGGGATAATGACTGGCAGTGGAACCCAGGACGCACGTTTCGTCAGCTGGGTGTACTTGCATCTCAGAGTTGATGTTCACTCTGGGACTAGAACCCAGTACCATTCATTTCAAGCGCCATCGTGTTATACACTCAGATAATGAGTCCTGATAGCCACCTGCCTGTGCAATGCGGTGAAGTTATATTCACTTCGTATTGTTTGGCTTGTATCTTTCCATATAATGTAATATACATTCAAGCTATTATTATTATTATTGTTATTATTATTATTATTATTATTATTATTATTATTATTATTATTATTATTATTATTATTATTATTAGTAGTAGTAGTAGTAGTAGTAGTAGTACTGGCACTATTACAACTAGTAATGTTCGCCATCACTGTTCAGATGGAAAAGACGGGTGTGACAGTTATCTACTACAGACAATGGATTCAGGGTTTTGTAAGATCACGTATCGATTGAAGTTAGACATTAACACCGTTGCATGCTGGCCAGCTCAGTGGTCTAGAGGTTAAGCGTTCGCGTGCAAGACTGATAGATCCTAGGATCGAATCCTGCGAGCGGGAACGTGGATGTGCACTACTGATGAGTCCCATAGTAGGACGAAACGGCCGTCCAGTGATTCTAGGTTTTTCATAATGATCTAGCTTTAATCGACTCATGAATTCAAGTAGAGTACGTCACATGCTTTATAAACTAAGATGGATAGTGGCCAGCAGTGGAATCCAGTTTGACTCACGTTTCGTCCTACTTGGGATACCTTAGACTGGTGTACCTGCATCACACAGTTGGTGTTCACATCGGAACTCGAACCCAGTACCTTTCTCTTCAAACGCCTAAACGATTGAAATTTAAAATAGTTCCAACGTTTCGTCCAGCAAACTTGTTTGAACTTCTTCAAGGTAATAATCATGATCACCAAAGAAATATATATGGTGTTTAAAAATCAAATCACATCTATACTGTGCTAACCCATTTATTTTCACATCGAGAACTTTGCAAATAATTCGCATTGAACTGACTCATATTATTCTATTTGCTAAAGTGAACATCCAAATATGACTGGATAATCACAGTGTAGATTTGATTTGAACGCCATTATTGTTAAACGCCAAATAAATTCGTTTGATAATCTTGATTTCGATTACTACCCTGAAGAAGTCTAAACACGTTTGGATTATTTCAAATTTATATTTTTCACATATCATGACTTTTCTATGTTTAGCACCCAATTTTTTTGATCGAACTATTCATTCCAATCTTGACAAATATTTGTATAAAATAAGCTTATTTGCAAATGCTCTGGTGCACTCGAGAGTGGGGAGAGTCAACTCTTCCTCTCGAAATGCTCTCATATAGCCACGTACATACAATCACTGACATGGAAGTTCTACTCCCTGCCTTTTCAAGGCATTACTAGTGTTTACAAAACTGAGAGAAAGGGTTGGTGGATATGGAGGATCCAACTAGAAGAGTTGGACAACCCTGATTGCAAACCGGTAGTGAATATGGGCTTCAGGATCCCAAGGAAACAAATGGCGTATGAACCACTAATTGATCACCGGCTACTATTGGACTGAATCTCCTTATGTTGTTACACCGCTTTTTGGATTAAACATTTAGGTCAACGGTTCTGGGAGTGGCTCCCTAAGAGAACCACCTACTTCGGTTTGGACATTCGAACAGTATCCCGACTCTTACACAAATTGAATGATTTATGTAATGCATATCTATTTGGTACCTCCTTGTTATCAATGATCAATTTTGAAGTTAAATTAGATTTTTTTCTTAAATGTTTTATGATACTAAAACGTAAAACATCGTTTTTTTTCACATTTAATATTCCTTTTTAAAAGGTTTTAAAAGATAATACATGGCAAAGATTTTTTCTAATGTTATCAGCTAAAGTAATTGGTAATGAATTAGGTGATTTAATAGCTGCTTTATTATTACCTATATGTATTGGATTTTGTCAAGAGTTTAGACAAAATTTTTATGGATTATTAAAATTTAATACACCTAAACTACTTAAAACTACTCTGTTATCATTAAATCCAAGACAATCAAGAACAAGAATTATTACACCGTCTAATACCAACTTACCAAATGATTCTATATTTAATGTACATGGGAAAATGATAAAAAAGTCACCTTCACATCAACATCTTACTCCTCCTCATCTTCCTCCTCATCATCCCCATCATCATCATCATCAGCAGCAGCAGCAGCACCATGATGACACTGAGAATAATTTAAAACAATATCATAATACTAGCTGTCATCTAACAAATCAGTTAGAAAATCATAACAAGAATATAAATGATCTATCAGAAGATTCAACTACTGAAAGATACATATCAAATTGTCATTTACATAAAGAAACGAATACAGACAATCAAAATGAAACTGATATAGAAACAACATATGATAATACTAATCATTATCATCATGATTATAATCATAATCATTGTGATCTTCATTTACATCAAAATGATTTGAATTCATCATTAAAACAATATTCAACATATCACCATAGTAACAAACAAAATTCACTTTATATAAAACCTATTAAATCTGATTATTATAATAATAATAAACAATCGAATATAAATTTACATGATTCAATGCCTAATTCATTATTTTGTTCATATAATAAATTATCAACACAATATTGTAATCATTCAATGTCAAATTCTTTAATGAATCTTTATTATAATGAAATGGATAGTGATCAAGTTTATATGGATAAAGTGAAATCATTAATGGAACATCGATCTTATGTTTAAATTTAGTGCAGTTATGATAATCATAATCATAATAAGGGAACAGTTTAATGTTAACCTTGAATTTCTTTTGTTTAAATATATTAATTTATCAATTATTTTAAAAAAAAATTGTGTTTTGAATGAAGACAATACGTATGGGATGCACGTATACCAATAAAAGATTGATCAATTGCAGCCTTGAATATCAATGGGAAGATTCAACTAAAACAATACATAGTGAATTTAAAATTCTGAAGTGAATTTCTGGATTCATTAATTAAGTGGATAATGTGATGGTGTTGGAAACCAGTGGTGCTGGGTTCGAGTATTGGAGTGAATATCAACTATGAGGGATGCAGGTACATTCAGTTGACGAGTCCTAAATAGGACGAAACATGCACCAAACTGGATTCCACTATTAGCCATCATCTATCTTTGCTTATTGTGTTATTCTGGTTTATATATATTTTTTGAAGACTATGAGTTTTTTCTTCAAGTATTTAACTGGAATAATATCTAAAAGTTTTGCAGAGTCAATAAACCATACTACTTAAACATTTAAGTAGTTAAGGAGTGAAATCACTATCAGCTATATGTAGTAGTAGTAGTAGTAGTAGTAGTAGTAGTAGTAGTAGTAGTAGTAGTAGTAGCCGTGGGAGTAGTCGTAGTAGTAGTAGTCATTAATTAATTTGTTATCTTGAAAGTAACGATATCTCATGTCATGGCAAAAACCCGGGAAAACGACACAATCTTAATAAACGACATTGGCACTTATGGTGTGAGAACAATTTAAAACAGGCTATGTATATAGTGCTCACTGCGTTCGGTTGGATTTCTAATGTAAATACTTTATAAAAACTCAATACAATTATTGAGTTTATTTATCCGAAACATAAAATATCACAGTATAATGCCACTACTGATTATTAAAGTATATTTGATTTACCTGTAATTACATATATAACGTCTGCCTAATATAGAGAGTGTGATAGTTGCCTATCGGTGATAATATTTAACATGGTTAGTGGTATAAACAAAGATGGATAGTGGCTAGTAAGGGAATCCTGTTTGACTCACCTTTCGTTCTATTTGGGACTCGTCAGCTGGATGTTCCTCCCTCCTAGAGATGATGTTCACTTCGGGATAAAAGCAAACAATAGCAAGTGAATTGTTAGTAGTATATTGTAAAAATTAACTGAAGTTGAAAGTGATCATATTCTGAGTTTACACTTAAAAACTCCATCTTATCAAGGTAGAAAGATTTTAAGTTCTATTTAAGGTGTAACATAGTTTGTAAGTGTATTACTGGAATGAGACAACTATACAGTAAACATTGACTTTAAATGGTACTCTACTTATTCGTAATAGTACTTGTCAATAATACCTACGAACAATTCGGTAGTTGGCAATTATTTATTTTAAAGTTAAACTAGTTCCATTCAAAGTTGATATTCACTCCAAAACTCAAACCCATCAATGATCAATCTAAAAGCCTCATCGCCTTCTTTAATGAACTACTAAATCCACACAGTCAATCACTTGTGTAAACGATAAAAATGTTAATTCAATTTGAAGTAGATTGGATTATCTCAATAACAGGATAAGATTACTGAAATGTATCACAATTATCTTGTATGAAAATACTTGTTAAACTTTGTTTGAATAATTTCAACAGTTGAGATAATGAGTCATTTGAAGCTAGGTCACCAGAGGAAACCTGGTGTACTAGACGGCCGTTTCGTCCTACTTTGGGACTCCTCAGCAGTGAACATCCACGACCCCGACCCGAGGGATTCAAGCGCAGGACCTATCAGTCTCGCGCCGGGCGCTTAACCAACTAAATCACTGAGTTGGCATTCAGTTGTGTTAATGTCTAACTTCAACTAATCCATGAAAGTGAGCGACACATCCACCATTGTGATCAGTGAGTTACTATCTCACAACTGACCCGGTTTGATTAAACAAAACAAAATCATACTTTCCAAAATCAGTTGGATTTGATTTGTCTTCTTCTGTGAAAATGTAGAATAAAACTGTTGAGTGAAATGTTGTTGTCTGGTCAATGTTTTGGATGGGTTTTAAATAGATTTTAAAGTTGAATGTTTTGTTGCATAGAATTGAAGGATTTATAGAATACGATTCCTATTTAAAGACAGATTTCATCATGAATTAATATGAATAAGTACTGGGTGGCTTCTGCTAAGACTTTGCAAACTACCCACTCTTTGGACAGCATACGATATTGAAGTGCGAATGGTCAAGTCTAGCTGAGAGCATTTCATTTTTGAACTCAATTAATTAGAATACACTAATGTATTGGTCTGAATTTAGACAATTTACAAAATAGTGAGAGAATCATTTGTCGCCATCTGTGTTAATTTCATATTCACTTATCTATGTCTTACAATCTAGATTATTACCAGTGATTGTCATTCAGTTCAGCAGCTCAAACTTCTGAAATGTACGATTTATCTGACTATCAATATTTAGTCTTGAATGATTATTAGCAGTAGATGATAAGTTAACTTATTCAGTATCTAACGTATTCAACCAGTATAAGTTGTAATTAGTTGAACATAAACACATTTGAATAAATCGCACATAGAAAACTTTATTTTATAATGTAAATCTACTATTTCACTTCGTTTCATTATGTTATCGTATCGGTATATTGTTGGTGATTGACTTTTGTTCGTTTGTTGATTACAAATTAGAGCTTGAGTACCCATGTTTATGTGATTAGTAAGCACCAAGTGGTTCTATTATGTATACAAATGATTTGGTTTCTTTAAAATTCCAAACAAATCTAATTTCTTTGTGTCAACCTGTCTATTGTATCTTTATATTGACTGTCCATCATTAATTTAAAATAAACCTGATGGAATACGTCTGATTCTACTCTGGTCTAGATTGGTTATTAGTGAAACTCTGTGTATGTTCACTTTGGGACTCGAGTCCAGTATACTTCGGTTTAAATATCACAGAATCATCCACTTAGTTACTGAGTCCAGATAGCCACTGGCTTGCGTAATGGGGGTGATTTTTAATTTTAATTCATATATATTAGATTTTGGATCTTCTCATTGATATTCAGGGCTGCAATTGATCAGTCTCTTATTGACATATGTGCACAATGTGAGGACTGCCTCGATATTCCCAGTCATTCACAATGATGGACTTAGTAGCTATTTGGATAACTCGATGGCATTTGAAGCAAACAGTACTAGATCCCACAGTAAACATTCAAGCGACGAATCCAAAATAAGACGAAGCTCACGTCCTGGATTCCATTATAAGCTACCATCCACCTCTGCTTAAAAATTAGTAGTGACTTACTGAGAACATCGATACAATCCACACAGGGTTCACATATACCAAGAGAATATTATGCAATCGTTGTTCTAAACATCAATAGGAAGAAAGGAAATATGAGACTGGTTTGCAGTCATTTAAATAAATGTCATACTATTTGTTGTCAAAGCTCACAAAAGTAAATAGAAGTTTCAATATCATTTCCCAAACTGTTTACTTCACATTTATACACACATGAATTCATAATGAAAATTTGTATGTATTAAACTTATCAGACAAAACAATTTACATTGTAGGATATTTGTGAAAATGGTAGCTGATGTCGATCTAGCTTGAGAAATATTAAAAATAGGGAGGTATTTTTTAGTGATATGAGTTTCTTGAGAAGTGCATTAACGTGACTTCATCAGGGATCATACCCAGAATATTCAGGTCACGCAAAGGGTGCTTAACTTTTATACTTTTAAACAGATATCTAACTGTTTACATCAATACGCGATGTTGCACAACTGTTTTTTTAATACCATTGTTGGGAAGATGTCTCATACTTAACATTGATTAATTCCTCTGGTTATGGTTGTTCAAGAGACCTGAAGCATGAATAAGGTGACTGATGCTCACTACTGAAGAGAGCGAAACAACTTCCCAGTACTTCTTGAGTTTAAATGGTTATCTAACTGTGGTCAGTTAGTGGTATAAATTATAGAAGTAAGAATATTCCTGTTCAATCATTCAGAGTCATTCTTTAAATAAGTCATTGACATAGACGTTATTCACAAAATTCTTATTCAAA